TATGTATGTATTATGATTGTATGTATGTATTATGATTGTATGTATGTATTATGATTGTATGTATGTATTATGATTGTATGTATGTATTATGATTGTATGTATGTATTATGATTGTATGTATGTATTATGATTGTATGTATGTATTATGATTGTATGTATGTATTATGATTGTATGTATGTATTATTGCTTATGGATGGGCTTTAATGAATATATGAAGAATACAGACTGGGACAGCAGTTTTTGTATAATGGCCTGGATTTACTTTATCCTAAGGTATACTTATTTTTAATTCATTCAACATCATACAAGGTTAATTTCTTTAGTTTCTAGATATGTACGTCTTTGTATGTTAGACGAAGCCTTTTTGATATCGGTTTCAAAATAAGTCGACTATCTATAGGGAGTATAATTTTCTAGCCTTTCTAAACTCATCTAGAAATAGACGATCATTATTAGTTTTTGGAGTAGCAATGAAAGTCCTGGGCCAAGCGGAAAGTACTGGGCTAGTGCGAAGCCACTGTATTATTTACATGTTAAGATGTATTATGGTTGTATGTATTATCGCTTATTGATGGGGCTTTAATGAATAGACAAAGAATTCAGACTACGACAACAATTTTTGTATTATGGCTTGGTTCTATTTTAACCAAAGGTATACTTATCTTTACTTCATTCAACATCATACATGTTAGGGCTTCACGGGACATAGGGGTTATGTATTACTATTTGATCACTACTTTCTCCAGAACTCCACTGAAGTTCTGTCCCACTGTTGTATACTTTAACTAGAGGTCACGTGATAGGAATCCCTGAAACTCGAGAGAATATTCCATGAGATGTTCAAAGTGATATCTGACGGAACTCTCAATATTAGAAATGCATATAGTCATATATGCACTTACAGGGCCCATCAGTGCCAAGCTGATACCGGGGACCCTACAATACAAGGTTAATTTCATTAAGTTTCTAAATATGTACGGCTTTATATGTTAGACGTCGCCTTTTTGATATCAGTTTCAGAAAAAATCGATAATTTATGAGGAATATAATTTTTAGCCTTTCTAAACTGATGGGAATAAGACGATCATTATTAGTTTTTGAACATGCAATGAAACTACTGGGCTAAGTGCGAAACTACGGGGCAATTATATTTACATGTTTCAGATAGATAATGATTATTCGTAAATGTTATCGTTTATGGATGAGGGGCTTAAGAAAAAAGACAGGATGAAACAACAACTTTCTATTTCATTGCTTGGATTAATTTTATCCAACTTTTGTTTAATTCTTTCAACATCATATCATGCCAATTTCGTTTTAGTTTCCAGATATGTACATCTTCATATGTTAAATGTACGAATACCAGCTTCAGAATAAGCCGATTATTTATAAGGGAAATATAGTCTTCTAGCCTTTCTAAACTGACTTAGAAATAGACGATCATTATTAGTTTTCTGAACATTTAATGAAAGTCCTGGGCCAAGCGGAAACTACTGGGCCAGTGCGAAACCACTGTATTATATGTACATGTTAAGATGTATTATGATTGTTTGTATATATTATCGCTTATTGATGTGGGGCTTAAATCAATAGACAAAGAAATCAGAATGAAACATAACAACGTTTTGTACTATAGCTTGGATCTAATTTATCCTAAGGTATACTTATCTTTAATTCATTCAATATCATACAATGTTCATTCCATTTGATTTTTAGATATGTACGTCTTTATATGTTAAATGTATTTTAATAAGTTTCAGAATGAGTCGATAATCCTCAGGGAAGTATAATCTCCTAGTCTTTCTAAACTGATCGGAATAAGACGATCATTATCAGTTTTTTGAACATTCAATGAAACTACTGGGCCAAGCGGAAACTACTGGGGCCGCCCTCCCGGTCGGGCTCCAACAAATTTGAATTTTTTGTATTAGTCATAGTGGCATTCTTTACTACGTGCGGCTGGATGCTCGTCGGGGTGATGGAATGGTGGTTCTTGTCGAAAAAGGCATCCGTCATCGGCTCTTCAGGCCAGATGTGCGCGTCGGCCAAATCCTCACGGTCTAGCCAGTGCCATGTGATTCGGCGCCCCTAAGACCCAGTATATATGTAGCCAAGTGGCCCGGCTGGAATTGCTTCTTGATTCTGTCATGGGCTTCACTTTCATCTTCGGTACGGCACATATCACGTCTCGCCCTGCCAGACGCTACAGCCCAAATCCACGGACACCCTCTGGCCCTTTTCCTCAAAGCCACTGGCAACTGCTGTCCTCGTCTCCTCATTTGATGGATGAAATGCCTGAGTAGCCACAGTAGGCGTGGGCCTCGTTTCCAGGTTTTCTCGGCGCAAGGCCCAGTCTCTGCTCTTATGTATTCCCGTTTAGATACCCGGCCAGAAAATCACAGGGAATGGTGTTTGCTTGATATGAATACTGCCTGCCCTGTGACGGACGCTCCCTAACTGACAAACATGGATCATTCCACAACCGCCCATGCATTTAAATTGCACTCCTGGGCCAAAACCCCCAATTCGGCAGTATATGCATTGACTGGGAAAGAAGTCGTAAAGCACGGCAGTGCTAAAAGAAAGGACTTGACGCCGCTGAAGCTTGCTCGAGCCAGCAGCTACGGCTCATACACTCTCATCAACATGAAGCAAAACTGTGGCTTGCTAGACAATAGCCGATAAAGCCAACCAACCATAAGAGTCACCGAGCAGTATCCAAGGTATCGAGCCAGCCACTTGTTCGCAAGCACAACTTTGGAGATCACTTTTTTATGTGCCCGGCCCCGAAATGGGCTTGGCCGACATTTCCACAGACTGGGTCATCTAGGATAACTTGGGCGCATTAACTACTACGAGCGATATGTTCTGAGAACCTCGAGAAATTGTTGAAGGTCATTCAGCTGGTGGCTAGAGCCAATATCAGAGCATCGATCAAAGAGACGGCTGGGGGAATGCAGGCGTTTCACGGGCCATGGACGAGAGCCAAAGACCGCTACTAGGAGACTCTTTGTATTTATTACAAGAAGGCAAGCAAGGCCAGACCCACAAGAATGTTCTGATTTGCCGGTCTTTTAAGGTCTTGGCTTCGGCCATGGCATGGTCTTCTAGTTCATCGGCCCTGCCGAAGAGCTAGCGTTTTGGTGCGTGGGGCATGCTTCAGTATCTGGAAGGTTCCAACGGAGAAACAGGCCGCAGTTTTCAAGAGTAAAAAGGGCGGAGTGAGCGGAATGGCTGTGCCTGAGCGTGATGATATTACAGTAGCGTGGGGGTGGGAGAGAAGCTCTGGTTTTAGAGTCATGAGACCTCAATCTAGAAACAACATCCAAACTTCCAACACGTCAACGCCATAATAAACTAACATCGGGACACCGGCCTTTTGGGGCAAAGACAACTCTGAATCTGGGGCCGCCAACGCGCTTTGGACTAACGCATTGCTACGTGGTTGTTAGAATACATCAGCGAACACAGCAAGCACATTTGAAATTCGCTTTTCCAAACAAGAGCGGCATATGCCAAGAAGAATGTTGATCGTCACCGCAGCGACATGTCTTTCAATCTAGTGGAATACTGCCAATGTTTCGAGCAGGCAAGTCTTTCAAAATATCTGTAATGTCGAAAACAGCACAGCACAGAAGATGGTGACAGCCCTTGATAAGCTTGGTATTAGAGGCACACAGAGAGGGAGGACATTGGCGTTCATTGAATGCCATCTCGGAGCATTGCTGAACTGTGATCTAAGCACCACGTCTGTGTGCTCTTCATGACACCAATTTATTCTTTCTAACCCAATGAATGTACACCACTTGATAATGATTATTGCTGACGGTTCGTATCAGCATGGAAAGTTGGTGGTATTAGCAAGACGCCTTGTCTCTTTAACAGAGCTTACACCATCTAACTTCTCACTACCGGAGCAAATACGAATGTATGCCGAATAAAGTTCAATGCCATTTCGACTAGCTGGGTTCGTACAAACGCCTCAAAGGAAAGGGACTCGGGATTCATGATTTTTTAGTCAACGAGCATGGCTAATGTATGGGAATACCAGTTAACAACGCAACAAAGCTATCACTACTTGAGATATTTGTGCAAGCCATGGAGGTTGTGGGCCCATGTAATCAGTTTGGCTACTTGCGTCTGTCACTTTTAAATGAAGGATCTAACGGGAAGAATTTGTAGAAGTGTTTACATCTCCACAATTGGTTTCAACGAGCCGGGGAAGCTGGTTGGGAAGGATAGCTCTGATTAGTTTGGAGGTTTCATTGGTAGTGAGTATCATGTTTTATTGAAAAGCCAATGGGTCTTCAGCATGTACGAGAATAGCCCGACTGTTAAATTTGAAGCACTCATAATCTTGCAATTGGTGATTCACTTGAGAGACACAGTTTTTTGGGAGACACGATTATTCAGTTCTTTGGGAGAAACGATTACTCAGTTGTCTGGGAGAGACAATTGGTCAGATTATTGTGCGAAACAATTGGTCAGGTATTTGGGAGAGACAATTGGTCAGCTGTTTCGGAGAAACTATTGGTTAGATATTTGGGAGAAACGATTGGTCATCTGCTGGGAGAAAGAATTGGTCAGCTGTTTGGAAAAACGTACTTGTCTGGGAGAAACGTACGGTCAGTCTTTTGAGAAAGCACTCATAAGCCATTAGGAAAAGTGGAACAGGCAAGCGCCCTGATTCATGAAAGTCTCTATCCGCTCCCCCGAAAAAAATCCACACGCCCCAATTCTGTTGTCCCTTTTTTAATCTCAACAATACAGTTTCGCGGCCAGAAGCTCTACCAGACAATGTTTTGCACCCAGGCCGAATGAACAGCGCCCGGTCACCACAAGCTACATTATGGCTCCTACACTCCTTCAGAAAAAAATCTCTCCTTTCAAAAAAAAAAATAATTAAAGGCTCTGCGTATTTTTCTCCGGCACTTCATTGAAATTGCACTCTGTCGCGGCTGGCCAATATACCCTAGGGCCCGAAATGGACAAGGGCCATATTCCCCAGCATGGATGAACAGGCCACGCCCACAACCCCGCCTCCACCAACCAAACCAAACCACACCAGAATAAGCCAAGCCAAACCAAAGTAAGCCAAACCAAAATAAGCCAAACCAAAGTAAGCCAAACCAAAATAAGCCAAACCAAACAAACAAAACCAAACAAACAAAACCAAACAAACAAAACCAAACAAACAAAACCAAACAAACCAAATCAAACAAAACCAAACCAAACAAACCAAATCAAACAAAACCAAACCAAACCAAACCAAACCGAATTTCGCACCCATTCAACCGGGCCCTGGCCCCAGGCCCTGGGCCCAGGCCGCGCGCGCCAGGCCGCGGCCCTAAACCCAGACCCAACTACCCACTCTTCTTCCCCCAAAAGAAGCACCGGTTCTCTCTTTCAATCGTAGAAAAATGCCCGTTTTGTTTGCCAGGCGCCTCACCACCACGCCGGGCAGCAGCAAAAACAGGTTCCAGGTGTTTGACCGCGCCGCCAAGCTCGTGCAGAGACTGCGGACCCCGGCCACAGACGTGGGCGCATCTCGCCGGGCCGATTTCCTCCGGGACGAGGTCTCGTTGCGGACCATCGAGCGGCTTGCGTTCATCACCAGGGACTTCACGCGCACGCTTGATTTCGGCGCCCATCTGGGCAGTTTTTTGAAGAACCTATGCAGTGTTTCGGAGGTGCCCGAAAGCGCCTCCCAGGACGAGGCAGCAGCGGCCCAGCAGCTCAACGAAGACAAGGCCAAGGTCCGCCTGAAGATTGCCGATTTGGTCATGGTGGACTCGCTGCGGCCGCTTTTGTACCGGGACGCCGGCCCGGCCGCGGCACGTGACTTCCCGGGCAACGTGGTCCGGGTCGTGGCGGACGAAGAGGCGTTCGACGCGCCCGAGCTCGCCGCGAGCGAGCAGTTCGACTGCGTGGTGTCCAACTTGGCGCTCCACTGGATCAACGACCTCCCGCAGGCGCTCGCCAACATCAACCGCGTGTTGAAGCCGGACGGGCTTTTCATGGGCACGATTTTCGGCGGCGACACGCTCTATGAGCTCCGCACGTCGCTCCAGCTTGCCGAGTTGGAGCGGCTCGGCGGCATGTCGGCCCGCGTGTCGCCGCTCGTGCACGTGAACGACGTGGGCAGCCTCTTGAGCCGCGCCGGCTTCAGCATGTTGACCATCGACACCGAGGACATCGTGGTGGGCGGCTACCCGGACCTCGTGGCGTTGTGCACGGAGCTCCAGGCGATGGGCGAGCAGAACAGCTTGCTTGCGCGGGCCCACACGCTTCCGCGGGACGTGTTGCTCGCGGCCAACGAGATCGGCAAGAGTCTCCATGGCGAGAAGGCGCCCGACGGCACCGTGACGATTCCGGCGACGTTCAATGTGATTTTCATGATAGGCTGGAAGAAGAGCGAGTCGCAGCCCCAGCCGTTGGCCCGCGGCTCGGGCCAGATCAACCTCAAGGACGTGTTGCAGTAGGCGTGCGTAGACCGTGGGTCGGGCGGCCTGGGCATTGAGCCTGGGCCTGCGTCTTGCATACGCCGCCGAGTTTCCGTTCTGGGGCCATGGGGCTTTGCGATGGTCGGCACGACTGCTGGTGCATGGAGCATCTGGTGACTAGATATTCGAGCTTCTGGTGATTTGATGTTGAGCTTCTGGTGATTTGATGTTGAGCTTCTGGTGACTAGATATTCGAGCTTCTGGTGATTTGATGTTGAGCTTCTGGTGACTAGATATTTGAGCTTCTGGTGACTAGATGCTGAGTTTCTGGTGACTAGATATTTGAGCTTCTGGTGATTTGATGTTGAGCTTCTGGTGACTAGATATGCTGAGCTTGTGGCGACCTGAGATGTTGAGTTTCTGGTGACTAGATATTTGAGCTTCTGATGACTTGATGCTGAGTTTCTGGTGACTAGATATACTGAGCTTGTGGTGACCTGAGATGTTGAGTT